AATGCTGGATGGTGCCCACGTGTCTAAATTACATAGCTCATTTAAATATGTTAATGACAGTCAGCGACTCATGGTGAACGCACACGGAAGAGATTTACCGATAATGGAGTGCGATCTTTTGCCTTTGATTTCCATGGGAAAACGGCATGATTTTTTTTTTAAATCAAGAAATTATTTGTTTTCGAAAGATAAATTATTCTTCAATGGTCAGTTTAACACTTTTACGGTGATAAAAGCTCATTGTCTAAAACTTACGAAACACAGACGTATTCAGAAAGAGTATTGACAGAGGTCGCCGACAGAACAAAAGCAGTTTCATTGCCTGTCTGACATCTTATCACCGCTGAACAATAAATAGGTGTGAATATTTTTAGGCATGTTGTCGAAACAAATGAATAGGATTAGGAACAATGCCGTTTTGGAACAGCTGGTTGAAACAATGAAGTCAGTCACGGTCTTGTTGAATTGGGGGTGCGGTTAGTAATAGGTACTTTTCAAGTTTTCAATTTTTGTTAAGAACTCTTTAACCCTGAAGCCGGAATTGGGGGTGCGGTTACTATTACGTATGCGGTTTATATTAGGACTTTAACGGTACATGTATATTAGACATTACAGGTTCCTAATGCACATCATTTATTTTTCAGATCGGATTCAAAATGGCTGTCTGGCGTCCATTTTGTTTTAATGAATGGGCTTCTAGGCTTCCATATCTCAGACTTGTTTTGACTGATTATATTCAAATTTTAAATATTCATTATACATCATGTCATAGATATATTGATTTGACGATCCTATTCAAAATGGCTGAATGGTGGTCATTTTTGTGCAAACAAATCATCAAATATCAAGCATTTCTGGCATTTATGGATGGATTTCGTTCAAACTTGGTACATACATTAGGGTTCCTGATGCACGTCATTTTATTTTTCAGATTGAATTAAAAATGGCTGATTGGCCGCCATTTTGTTTTAATGATTGGGCTTCTAGAGCCATATCTCTGAAATGCTTTGACTGATTATATTCAAATTGTATATATTTGTTATACATCTTGTTTTATATATACATGTATTCAAAATGGCTGATTTTAAATGCTGTTCCAGAGCAATATCTCTCAATATGGACAAGTACTTGTTTGACGATCAGATACAAATGTCAATTTTAACGTTAAAAAATCATATTCCTGACATGGTTATATTCCAGCCATATTACTATAAACAAAACTATTTATCTTGATAACTAACAGGGACTGTGCCATGCATGGTTTGTTAATTTATAACTTAGAGTCTTTAAAGTTTCTTAACAAATATTTGACTAGGGTGAGTAGCCTAATTTGCATATTGCAATAACTTATTCTGTCGCAAAAAAAAAACTGGTAATATTTCATTGGATGGTCTGCAAATTTGCGAATTTTAGTATATAATGATTTATTATATCATGATTGATGTTATTTGAGCAGATATAGCATCTAAAAACATCAAATGTATGCGAGTATGGGGAGTACAGTACGCATGCGCAGTTACAAGAGTGATGCGGCCATTTTTTCAGTTTGACGAAAAGGCAGTACCCTTTCCGATTTTCATGAACGCAAGTTCAATTTCACTTTGTGCGTCATATTCATCAATAGACAAAATCGAAGACAGATGCCGTACAACTTTCTGCCAATCTTGATTCGTAAATGTTCTGGTTACATGTACAGTGTTCTCCTCGGGTCTGCGTCGCTTAGACAATAGCCGCGTAACTTTCATTTCCCCCGCGATTCTGCAGTGTTCGCATCAGGTCTTTTAAGGGTATCGGGTCCAATACTGTTCTTTCTTTCCATGATACTGTTTCCCTCAAGCTGGGCCGTTTCTAGGCCATTGTTTTGCAATGATGAATCAGAACAGAACAATTCGTGTGAACTGATCAATCCTAACTTATTATCTGGATACTCGTATTCACCTGCGGATACTTCGGCCTACTTTCAAACATGAATATAGAAGGAAATCAACAATTTTTTTTCAATATCGTTCCAGACTTTGCAAGCAATTTATTTAATAATCACAGTGATCACTACTATTGGGTTTCACTACTATTGTTTTCGCATGGTTTCCATCTTACTCAAATAAAACGAAGCAGTTAATTCCTATTTTACTTAGTGTTTATTCTTGTTTGATATTTT